GAAGGCTGGTGGTTCAAACCCACCAGCCACTCCTCGGAAGGAAGGTTGGGCAATCTACTTCCATAGTGATACTGCCTTGGAAACCCAAGGAGGGGTCTCTATGAGTCCGGTCAGTATGAGTTGTTATCGATGGCTCATAACAACAACAACAGACACCAAACCAGAAGAGCTAACAGAAGACAACTTGATGAAGATGAGTGCTTCTGAACCAGTGCCAGATGATGAGGAAGAAGACAGGGAAGAAGCTGACACTAGACAATCTGGCAGAACACTTCTGATTATTCAAGACTGCTTTTGCTATCTTTTACAACATGGACTATTCTATGACACAGGCACTGAAACAAAAGCAAGGCACAGTGGAAACTAAAGCAAAGAAGGACTGGTATTGTATAGAAACATTTTTAGAGAAATGAAAAAGCAAAAATATCAGAAATGATGATTTTATTTCCATAAGTTATGACAAGTGTGACTGTTCCTCTTGCCTTCTCTCCCACATCTTCTGCCTCTGTCAACACTGACAGAGCACAAGTAACTCTCATCTCCCTCCTCCTCCTCAGCCTACTCAATGTGAAGACCAGGAGGATGAAGACCTTTATGATGATCCACTTTTAATTAAAGAATAATAAATAATCAGCATGCTGTACAGTTAATAAACTTACTTGTTCTGTATATGTGGGAGTGCCTTTGTGTGAAAATCTAATAAGGGTACAGCAAGAACTGTGTTAATTGACTGTGTTATTGTTAAGGCTTTCGGTCAACAGTGGGCTATTAGTAGTTAAGTTTTTTGGGAGTCAAAATTTATATACAGATTTTGACTGTGCAGGGGGTTGGGACCCCTAACAATCATGGTTTTCAAGAGTCAATTACAGTCTTCCTTTGTCTTTTTATTGCAACATGTAAGAATTTTTGGGAAAAGATGTTTGGTAACTAGACTATTTGGAAAAAATATAAACATGGGACTTTTTTAAATAAAATGTTTCAAATATTTAAAAAAAAGTTGTACTGAATGATATCAAATGATATATAAAACATTCATGTACAAACTATTTAAGAAATAAATAACCATGTATATATACTTACTCTCATTTCCTTTTTGTTATCCTATATAAACTTTTGTGTTCATAAAAATACAGAGTATGCCCTGTAGGTTTTTATATTTTATAATAATGTTATATGGCTACAGTTTTTTTTTTTTTTTTTTATAATTTGTTTATTCACTAAACATGTTTGTAAGATTCATTCACAAGTATGCTCTAATTCCTTCCTTTTAACCATATGATGGTATCTCATTCTGGGTATACCATCATTCTGCTGAAAAATTTTTAAGTCATTTCCAGGTTCTTTTGGTGATTACAAATGATGCTGTCATGAACATTCCTAAACATTCCTTAGTGAACATATGTAAGAATTTTTCTGTATTTTCTAGAAGTGGAATTTCTGGGTTCAAGAATATATACAACTTCAAAAATGATACTACATTGTTTTCCAAAGTGGTTGTACCAGTTAACATTCCCATAGGAGGCTTGAAATTTCCCCTTGTTCTGGATCCTTGCTGAAATTTAGTATTATCAAACTTGTAAATCTTTGCTAATTTCATGGGTATGAAATGATACACCACTGTGATTCCAATTTGGATTTCCCTGATTATAAGTGCAGATGAGCATTTTTTTTTTTTTTCCTCCATGTTCACCGGGCTTCCTCTTCTGTGAACTGCCTGTTAAAATACTGGACCCACTTTTCTTTTGGGTTGTTTGTCTTTGTAAGAAATGGTATAGCAGTTACTCATAGTGCATTTTAAGAACATGGATTTTCTTCTGTAGTTAATGAAATGATTACAATGCAAATGTTGCCTTTTTTTTCTAATATGATTTTAGATAATTTGGTAAAAGAAACTATAAATGTCTCTGTAGCTTTGGACTTTGGCTTAGTGGAAATCTTCTTTTAGATGTTTCCTACTCCCAAAAGCTGTAGACTTTCCAATCTTGAATATTCGAATGTCTTAAAAAAAAAAAAAAAAAAAAAAAAAAAAACCTAACTTCTGCTTGTTTTAGTAGGAAATAGACCAGAGCAACGATATAAACAGCATATTATATGTGTCACTTTCCTTCCAATATAGAAATTACATTATGTGATACACTTTACCATGGTTTACTCATTTTTATTAAAGTGTGGTTTATATGCCTATTTCTCGAGCAGCATTAAGGGCTAGTCAATTAGGTTATAATTTTATGAAGAAACTAATCAAAGACATGATGTGGTTGAATGTGCAATGCTTCATTTCTACTCCAGGCCCTCATAAAGCAAAAGTCAAGGAAGTAATCTCAAAGTAAAAGCATTTTTCACATCACATCTTCTAAAACTATTTCAACTAGCAAAACAAAAATGATACCAGGTGACTCTTGTGGGCAGAAATAAACAAAGCATACAAATTATTCCAATGCAAGAATCCCATAGTAAAGAAAATACAGAGACCTTTCTATACAAACTGATGGCAGAAATGAAGGCAAAGAGGCAGCTGCCATGGAGACATGTAGCATTCTTGCTTCAGTACAAATAAATTTGTAACAGACATGATGAAGAATGTCAGAGTAGGAGCCCTGCTGTTTTTATCCTTTTTGTCTTCACTCTTAAAATTCTTCAGAGGGAGCATACATACTGTTCTTAGGAGACAATAGTAACAAAAGAGATTCCAGAGAAGGTAGACAAATATAATTGACAATGTTCAAAGAAAGAAAGGAAATAAAGGTAGGGAATGGTATAAATTCATTAAAATTGTTTTAAGTTCAGAAGTGACAATTTACACAGGCATTAAAATATTAGATGGAAGAAAAATTGTGGTTGTATGTCAATAGATGTACAGTGGTAAAACTTTTCATAATAATATGTACAGTGGGGGAGTTCCGGCAAGATGGC